AAGATGAGGTTTTCTGCTCCCTTAAAGATTTACAACCTCAAAACAGTGTACAGGCTCACTTGAGGCAGAACTGACTCCACAGCACATAACAACACATGAAATCTTAGTATTAATTTCCTGGCTTTCCAGTTGCTGTTCTTGTATGGGTTCCAATTTTTCATTTATTTTGTCAGTTTGTTCTTGTAGTGTTTTCCTGAATTATTCTCAAGTTTTTTCTGCATTTTCTCGATCATTCTTTCAATCCATTGGAGATACTTAAATGTTATTCTTTCAAATTCCTTATCAAGTAGTTTGCATATTGTTTCTGGTATATTTTCTGACTCTATCTTGGTCACTTGTTTGAGGCACTCTGTTTTTTTTCTTTGTGTAAGCTGAAATTGTTGTCTCTAAGATATTGTGGTGTCATGAATTTATATTTCCTTAATGACTATGTGCTGTGTTCGCAGGCACTCGGCACCTGTCTCCTGATGGTGTGAGAGACTGAAGTACGAATGCAGTTTTCTGTTCACTGTTTGTTCTGCGTAGTTCAGGGAGGGTTATGTAACTCCAGAACAGGATGTCAAGCCAGGCCTCCGACCCCAGGTAAAACTTGTAAGGCTGTGTAAGAAGGGGTGCCACAGGCCACAAACCTGGTGAGGGTGCTGGGAACAAGAGATAACTGCATCCCCCTTGTTGCCAACTTCCAACCTCGTTCTGTGCCTCTAGGGCACCATATGACAAGACAGTCACTGCAAAAGCTGACGATGGCTGTGCCACTCCAGGCTAGCTGTGTGTCCACCCATTTTTCTTCGCTTTTGCTGCTCTGTTTAGCTTTCTCTTCCAGTTGTCACTCAATCCACCTCTCTGTCAGCGGTTCTAATCCACCAGCCGCTCACTAGAAACCCTATACAGGGTTGTTATTAGTTGGATCAACTCAACGGTACTTAACAACAACATAGCAGAGATTTACAGATGTCAAAAACAAAAAGAAGGATGTATTTCAAGTTTTAGATAATCCTCAAATGAAATTTTAGATTAATTTATAAATTTTGAAGGATTGGTTGGAGATCTCTTGTTTCTCCTAAAGATAATCCCCGCCCCCTCCCCCCAAGTTGGAGAAAGCTTAGCGTTATGATGTACCCAGTGCCATTAAGTCAATGCCAACTCCTAGGGACCCCATGGGACAGAGTAGAATTGTCCCATAGGGTTTCCCAGGCTGTAAATCTTCATGGACAACAACAACAACAACAAATCTTCATGGAAGCAGACTAACTCATCTGTCTCCTGTAGAACTACAGGTGGGCTCAAACCGCTGACCTTTCAGTTAGCAGCCTAACAACCTACTGTGCCACCAAGGCTCCTTTTTCCAGATAAATTATACTATTACGAACAACTGAACAAAACCGTACAACTGTTTACAAGTATCTAAGTGTATATATGGGGGTTCTTGGTGTGGTACTGTAGAATCAGCACTGGACTGCGAATCTCAAAGTCGGCAGTTCAAATCCACCAGCTGCTCCTCAGAAACCCTGTACAGGGTCGCTATGAGTGGGAACCAACTCAATGGTACTTAACAACCACCACAACAAAGTACATGTATGCAGAGCACGATGGCTATATAGGATAAACACTGGACTTCGAACCACAAGGTTGGTGGTTCATGCCCACCAGCCGCTCCATGGGAGAAAGAGGAGCATTTTTGTTCCTGTAAAGATTTACAGCCTCAGAAACACTCTACAGGGTCACTGTTGAGTCAGAACTGACTACACAACACTTAAAAAACAACAAGCATATGTACAAACACGAGAAAGACATCTACGGAAAAAAAAGTTAGGCTATTAGGGTGATGTGCCTTCTTTATTATTTTGCAAATGCCAACATTGAGTCAGGTCTCAGTACTATGTTGTTGTTATTAAGTCCTATTAAATTAGTTCTAACTCATAATGACCCTGCATAGGGTTCCCAAGGAATGGCTGGTGGGTTTGAACTGCCAACCTTGTGGTTAACAGTCCAATGCTCATCCTACAGTGCCACACCAGGCCTCCTTTAAACAACATCATGATAAACAGAGAAAAAAATTGTAGTTGTTAAAGATTTCATGGATCTGCAATCAATGCTCATAGAAACTGCCAGTGCTGCCACTTACTATAGTGTTGGTCCTGATTCATAGTGACCCTGTATAGGATTTCCAAGGCTGTAAGTCTTTACAGGAGTAGAAAGCCTCATCTTTCTTTCATGGAGCAGCTGGTGGACTTGAACTACTGACTGGCAGTAGCCCACTGTATAACCCACTATACTATTTCAGCAGTCAAGCCATAGTACCATGTAGTTGTGGTTAAGTGCTGTCAAGTCAGTACCAACTCATAGCGACCCTGTACAGGGTTTCTGAAGAGCAGCTGGTGAGTTTGAACCACCCTCACAGTTCAAACCGACCTTGTGATCCAGTGCATTATACTGCAACGCCACACTAGGAGTGTATGAGTCATATAAATGAATTTGCTCAAGAGCTTCTCTGCAATATCTTTTTCTGGATGTATATCATATGCAGAAGGTACTTCCTCAACCCAGCAGGATGACTGTATTGATCTGTAGACCTGTGAGATTCATCAAGAGTCAGTACTATCACTAATTAACGATGCTGGCTTCCTTAGAATATGTGGTTGTTAAGTGCTGTTGAGTTGGCTTCAACTCATAGTGACCCTGTACAGGTTTTCCGAGGACTGGGTTTCTAGTGGGTTTGAACAGCCACCTTTCGGTTCAAATTGATCCAAATTGATCTTGTGATCTAGTGCTTATCCTCCAGTGCCACACCAGGACTCCTTTCTTATTGGTGGTGGTGGTTATGTGCCGTGGAGTTGATTCCGACTCATTGCGACCCTGTACAGGGTTTCCGAGGCTGTAAATCTTTACGGGAGCAGAAAGCCTCATCTTTTTCCCATGGAACAGGTAGTTTTGAACTGCTGACCCTGAAGTTAGCAGCCTGATTCATAACCAGTACACTACTAGAGCTCCTTATGGTTAGTGTACGCGTAGACTGACTCTGTTTGAGCCACTAGAGGGAGCCTGGACATAACAGAATCTGAAGTAGAATTTGCTTGGACTGGAAGTACACCTGCCTCTACTAGCTGAATCTCAAGCAAAAGTCATGTCAACCCAAATCAATGCTTTAAATGTTTCCTAATGGAAATGTATAGACAACTAGGTTGAATGGATGACTCAAAAATATGAAATCAAAATTTAATTTCTAAAATCATAATTCTAATACTTAGACAATCAGATGATTTTCAGATGATATGGATGCCAAGAGATGTTCTTCCTACTCGAACACACTGTCTTTTAGGAAGCCATTCTGACAGAAATGCGTGTCTTGAAATATCTAAAAATAGCTGGAAGCTTATTTAAGGTGCTTGTTGTAAAGCATCATCTCGATGCCCAAAACACTGGTTTCCATGCGAAGGATGTCATTGTGGATATCTTCATGTCTTAAGGAGCTCTGGTAGTGTAGTGGATATGAATTGGGCTGTGAACCACAAGGTCAGCAGTTCGAAACTACCAGCTATTCCGCGGGAGAGGGATGAGGCTTTCTGCTCCCATAAAGATCTATGGCCTTGGAAACCCTGTACAGGGTCGACTCCATGGCACATAACCACCAGCACATCTTACAGAAGATACCAGTGGCAGGGTGGCTTGTTGCTTTAAGTTTCTCCATCAGCTCAGGTACCATCTGTGTCTTCATATATTTTTCAAATAAATATCTTTAATGATACAGTTGAAATCCTCTTTGACCCTGTATCATTAAATAAATATCTTTAATGATACAGTTGAAATCCTCTTTGACCCTGTATCTACTACACTTCCTTTCTCAGAGGCAGTGACTATCTTGGTGTACTTACATATACATACTTAAGTATCTCTAAATAATTCCTAGCAGTGTTTTTTAAAAGGGTTTACAAAAATGATAATGCTGAACATGTTCTGTCATTAGCACTTAAAATTCATCTTTACTTATGTGTTCTACCACTATACATGTAGATGTAACATTCTACCACGTGTACATGTAACATTCTACCACATATACATGTAGATGTAGCATTCCTTGTAGCATTTCTACAGTATGGCGCACACCACAAGTTTATCAGTCCTGATGATGGATGTTTCAGTTCTTTCTAATTTGTTGCCTGTATACACTCTAGTCTGTGCTCAAGTCTCCTAGTTAATTACCATTCAGTGCTGCTCCTTGAGTGGTTTTCAGTTTTAGTAGGAACCAGCAGATTGTTCTCCAAAGAGAGTATGCATCTCCACATTCTTACCAACACTAATCAAACCTGCTAACTTTTATTAAGCTGATGGGGAATAAATGGTACTGCATTACTTTGTATTTTCCAGAATACCACTGCGATTCAGCTTTGTTTCATGTGTATAAGTCGTTTCTCATGTATACATATCTTGCATCTAAAGTTAAGCTAAGAATGTTACACAGAATAGCATTCTCAAGTAGTGAACTTTAATATTGTATAAAAAAAACCAACTTGTTATCCAAGTGCACGTTTTACAACTTTACGCATACATCCATATACATCTATCAAGGTAAAGTCCGATACAAAAAAAAATAGCTTTTCCGATAGCCAGAACTTCTACAGAAGTAAGACCGTGCGCACTTCATTTTGTAGTCAAATGAGATAGCAACCATCTAAGGCAGGAAGGCGCAGAAGCAAATCATGTCCTCAGTATATTACAGACTACTTTGCATAGCTTATTTATCCTCACTTGGTGAACTCATTTTAGAAATCGGAAAGATTGTTTTCCCTAAAAAAATCTATACCTGTTACTGTCTATTTTTGTCTTTGTTCTCTATACCAAGCCAGCTTTTTTTTTTTAGCACCAGTTGTGCTTGATTTCCCAACATTACAGACATGAAGACAGCCCAGGCTTTGGGCTCTGCTTTTGTGGTAATCCTCAAAACAATGACACGTAAAAACATGTAGAACACTTTCAATCTTCATCTATATCTCAGGCGGTTTTCCAGGGCTTCCATTCTCTGTGTCATTTCTTCTAGTAAATCTCAAATTAAGGAAGAATCAGAATTGCCTATTTTTATTTATATTCAAATGCAAGTTAATTTTTCTACATAGAAATTTGACTATCTTGACAAATAAAAGGTTTCACTTTTTTTTTAACCCCCTTTGCTATCAAGTATTTAAAAACCCTGGATTGGAAATTTAGAGTAATTCACTGAACACCTAGTGAGGCAATGCAGGATAATGTGCCAAATGGTAAAGTCAGTTTGAATCTCAAGGTCAGCAGTTCAAATCCACCAACCTTGGAAACCCTATAGAGGGTCACTATGGGTCGGAACCGACTCAATGGCACTTAACAACAACAAAAACAATACTTATAGGACTCTTGGTGTGGCACTGTAGAATCAGCACTGGATTGAGAAACACAAGGTTCGTAGTTCAAACCCACCAGCTGCTCCTTGGAAACCCTATACAGGGTCACTAAGTAGGAACCAACTCAATGTGCTTAACAACAACAGCGACAACAACAATAATACTTACAAAAATATTTCAAGTTAAGTATTTTTGTAACATTATCAAAAGCCAAATGGCTCAGTTTGAACCTTTTTTTGTCTCTAATTTTTTAATTCCACTGCACTGCTCTGTTGCTTGGATATTCATTTGCATTGGTGTGGCACTGTAGGTTAATGCATTGGACTGCAAAGTCTATTTGAACTGCAAGGTTGCGAGTTCAAATTCACCAGCTGCTTCTCAGAAGCCCTATACAGGGAGACCTTTTTAAAGTGTTGGAGAGCAAAGGTGTCAGCTTGAGAACTAAGGTGCGCCTGACCCAAGCCATGGTATTTTCAATTACCTCATATGCATATAAAAGCTGGACAGTGAATAAGGAAGACCATAGAATAATTGATGCTTTTGAGTTATGGTGTTGGAGGAGAATATTGAAAGTGCCATGGGCTGCCTAAAGAACAAACAGATCTGTGTTGGAAGAAGTGCAGCCAGAGTGCTCCTTGGAGGCCAGGATGGCCAAACTTTGTCTCTCATCCTTCAGACATATTGTCAGGAGGGACCAGTCGCTAGAGAAGGTTATCATGTTTGGTAAGGTGGAGAGTCAGAGAAAAAGAGGAAGACCCCAGCGAGATGGATTGGCAAAGTGGCAGCATCAATGGGCTCCAGTGTGGCAACAATTGTGAGGTTGGCCCAGGGCCGGGCAGTGTTTCATTCTGTTGTACATAGGATCACTATGAGTTGGTACTGATTCGATGGCACCTAACAACAACGTGGGTTGGAACTGACTCGATGGCACTTAACAACAACAGGAGCTGGCAGTGATAAAGTTGGAAATGTGGTAAAGAGAAGGTCAGGACTAGGCCTTGAAAAGTGAGATGAAGCATTAAGAGAAGGGAGGACGGACTAGATTTAGCAACTCTGAGGAATTCTAAAGATGTTCTTATGTTCTTACATCCTCGTGTCTGCATTCCTCAGTTTCCAGAAGTGCGATGAGAAAAGGAAAGGACAGGGACACCAGAGCAGGCGCTTGTCTTCCTCTGTAGACAGAGCACTATCTACCTGCCCCCGCTTGGGAGCGGAATGAGAGCCCAGACTTTTTTAACCTGTATTAACCACTATAGGAAAGACTATTTTCCTTAAAAACAAAAAACTAAGCTCATAGCAATCGTATAGGACAGAGTAGAATTGCCCCATAGGGTTCCTAAGGTAGTAAATCTTTTTGAAAGCAGACTGCCCCACCTTTCTCCCATAGAGAAGCTGGTGAGTTCAAACCACATGCCTTTCAGTTAGTAGCCACATGCTTAACCACTGCCATTAGGGTCCTTTACTTTACTTTTGCTGTTGTTGTTAAGTGTCGTCGAATAGTTCGGACTCATAGTGACCCTGCATAAGGTTTCCTAGGAGTAGCTGATGGGTTTGAACTTAGGGGAGTCTATTTCCAGTTTTCAGGACAGGAACTGATTTATGCTGTTGTTCCCCATTATGTAAACCCACTGGCACAGAGGAGGTTCAGAATTGAACCATTTCCCTACAGACTAGTTAAACACACATTGAGAAAGATATCAGTCAACATCAGTAAGCTTGCTGCAATTCTGAGTTCAGAGTAGCTGGCAGCGTGTCCAGTGTGTGAAAGCACTGAAGCCTGCTCTCTCCATTATTCCCCAGCAGTCCCTGTATTTGTAATATTGTTTCAATCAATCACTGGATCCTGCTGTTCCCTTGGTAGAGTGTTTCATCTTTTAGAGTGCTGATATAAAAGATTTTGGCAGCCAAAAACATACAGAAACAGTTATCCAGTAACTGCACACAAAATCCAAATGTGACTGCAGCTCTGCTTGGGGCAAAAGAAAAGGCTTGGTATTTAGACTGAGTATGAAACCTCTGCATTCTACATTCTTGCTCTCTGTCTGTGCAAGGATAAGTCCAAAAGTATTGCTACAGAATCACAGAAAAGTTTATTGAATGAAATATCGATATGTGAAGCTTTTTCTCATCATCTCCACCATCTAGGTCTATACACTTGAAAATAGTGTTTCCATCTCTCTTAACCCTTCCTCAAACAATTCTGCATTATTCAATTTACACCGAATCAACACAGCACTCTGGGCATCCTTGTTGTTGCGGTTGCTGTTGCTAAGTATTGAGTTGGTTCCGACTTACAGCAACCCTGTATAGGGTTTCCAAGGAGCAACTGGCGAGCTTGAACTGCTGACCTTGCAGTTCAAACCAACCTTGCAGTCCCGCACATTAACCCACAGCGCCTCACCAGGACTCCAAATTATATTCCTTTGAAATGTTCTGAGTTTGGGGAACAAAAAGGAGTCTGAAGGAAGAAAAGCAGACCAAATGGAATAAAGTTTCCCAAATAATTCTCCTTGTACAGCCCTGGTCACCCTTGGAGGATGAGTAGGTGCATGGTCATGATGGGAAAGAATTTGTTGGTACAACTTTCCTGAACTTTTTCTCCCCAGTGCAGTTTTCTATTTTATTAAAACTTCTTCCTAAGAAGCCCCCATGATCATCCTGTGTTCTTCACGAGAATCTATCAAGATTACTCATTTGGAACCCCTTAAAACAGTCACCATAACTTTCTGAGTTGAACTCTCTGCCTTGAATTTAACTGGTCCAAAAGATTCCCTGAGAAGCCACTGTTTTGATTGGACTTTTCTCTCCCAAGACACCCTAATGAAATGAAGACAAGTGTATTGCTGAGAACTTGTCTGCAGCCATTCACTCATCACAGAGACATGTTTAAACATGTTTGTTTGGAATATACTCATTCATGTATGAACTGGAACCCTAGTAGCAATACTTTTTGATGTATACTTTTGTCTACCTCTCATGTCATTCAGAACTGGTACATATCCTCCCAGCAGAGAGGAGGATAAGTAAGTTTGTTTTTTGTTTTCTCTAGTTTGCAATTCTCCCCAATTGGGTTTATTACTAACCTCTACAACAGCACATGGCAGCTAAGTGCAAGACCCTGACACTAAGCTGTGACACCTCCCAGGCCACTTTCTTACCTTAAAGGCCTCTTCTGGAGTTGGTTATTCTGGACTTTATAGAAATTACTCCGTTTTTATCTACACAAATGCTTGTACAGGATCTGTGCTGTTTTGATAATCACCTCTGCATTCCACACAGAAACATAATATTTGAAAAGGATATAGCGCTGTGTTAACTTTCTTACTTCTTCATTCGCAAGGTTTTGGAGCATTATAAGCTTTTCACATTCGCATTGATCACGGTTTTCTTCCAAAGGGCTTCCTGAGAAAGCAGATGGAAAACGTTCACCTCTGCCACCTACCACAGTTCCCAAATACACATTCTATCGGACTGAATCAGCATACAGAGGGAACCAGAATGAACCAACTGGTCAACCTTTTCCATGCAGGCAGATCCAGTAAAGCAAATACCAGGAGACGGCTGTATATGCTTCCAACCCTGGAAGTGGCCTTTCTTGTGGAATTGGGGAGCGGGAGGGTAGGGAACTCTGATATCATTTAGCTTTTTAGTTCTCATTTGACTAGCTTGTTTTCTTCTCTTTTCCTCTATCCTATTTCCTGGTTCCCCTTTCCTTTCCTCCTTCTAAGCTATATTTGTTGGCAAGCCAAAAGGCTGGTATCAAGTTACCTTATTAGCAATAGTAACATTTCACTTGGAAGTACCTGAAGTTTTTTTTGACTGGGAAAGTTTTTGGGTAGACCGTCTAAGATTGTCTTCTTCAAACAGATATTTGTGTTGCACTGCAAAATTAGAACAGGAAAGTAGGTCTTGGATATTTATGGTGGCTGGCTCAGACTCTGTAAAGAGAAGGAAAACTGAAGTCAAACCTGCCTAACGTTGTAGGAATAAAACAGCCATTTGCAGAGTCAGGTACTTGTATTTTCTAGCACTTGAATATATAACTTTTACTTTGGCAAATGGGGCAAAAAGACTGTCAGCAGTGATGCTAGTTACCAAATAAGGCTTAAAGCAAAGAGTAACAGCGTGCTTTGTGCTCAAGGGGAAAAGAGGCATAGGTAACACAAATCTTAATTTCACATCTTTCCAACTTTTGTCTGGAGGAAAGCCATAGTGGAAGCATCAGCTGAAGGCTCTGGAAACACAGCTTTTACATTACCTGTTGGCTGATGGACCTTCTTGGGCAGGTCCTCTGCTGGAGAGTCCTGATTGCCATCAGAGTCTTCCAGAGCTGAGAGGAAACACAACCAAAAGGATTGACAGTGGTCGACATCCATATGTCCTTCAGGAATCTGGTCCCAGGCCAACTCTTTACCTACCTGCCACCAACCAGGGGACTTTGGTTTGGTCTGGCACCAAAGATTTAAAAGAGCAATTGGTTATAACAGCAACCAAAGACCACTCTGAGGCTACTGTTTCTAGTACGAGAAGCCTGAACCGTTGAAGTGAGTCTTCTTGATTAAGAATGCCTCCAGAAATGTCCGGTCATGTCCACAAGGCAGGTTAGAGAAGAAGTTGTGCAGTGGTAGCAGTTCCACCATAGGCATTTCAACTTGAAGACAAACCACTGTGTACTCACATTCGGACGCTGAAAGGCCTTCTTCCCTCTATCTTAGTCTTTCCTTCTAGAGCAGGGCTGGGGAACCTTTTTTTTTCCTGCCAAAATTTATGACATAATTCACGGGCCATACAAAATTATCAATTTAAAAATTAGCCTGCTATATTTGGTCAGACATTAAATTAACTCACCCCTAATGTAATGGCTGGAGTCCTGGTGTGGCACTGTGGGTTAACGCACCCGATTGCAAAGCCGTTTAAAGCTCACCAGCTGCTCCTCAGAAACCCTAAACAGGGTTGCTATGGGTCGGAATCGACTTGATGGCACTTAACAACAACAACAATGTGATGGCTGGAACTGTGGTTGCCATGGCAGGGCTAGACCAAATGATTTTGTGGGCCTTATATGGTGGTGGGCCAGACATTCCCCACCCATGTTCTAGAGGGCAAGACACATAACTGAGGGATTTTACTGGTGACTAAACCTAGGACCTGAGTAAAATGGGAAACAGGGACTGGGGCAGAAGTGTTGATGTCAGCAAGGCTGGCATAAGAAATGAACTGCAGCAAAGAGAAGCAAGGAGACTTTGTATCCACAGCAAAATCTAACTTCTAGGCACTGCCTAATGTTCTGTAAGCAGGAGGAGGAGTCATGTAGGGCTGGATTAGATATTTTTAAAGTTTCTAACAATGGGCTTGCAGGGACAACCAGCCCCTTGCACTGTAATTGCAGGCATGTCCTAACATTGCGAACCAGCTCTATATGATGACTGTTTTTTAGTTAAATGATCACTTCTCTAGGATTTATGAGGATTAAGTACACTGATGTGTCAAAACACATTACATTGTTTGGTTGGTGGGAATTCACTGAGCTGTATTATATAGAGAAGAATGTGTACCTGTTTACAATATCATACATGCCTTTATGTATAGTTTAATTGGATTAAAAAGAAAGGTTTATTTTTTAAAAAAGCAGCAGCTGATCACACTGCTTGACACAGCACACCTGCTGAAGCACTGTTAGCCATTATTTTTTATCTTCCCTTCCCGGCTCCTCTGGTCGTTTGCGTGTAGTGTCTCATGGTTATCACTGACCTGCCCAATGAGGACTCACTTTCTTGAGTATTTACAAGGAACGGGCTGAGAGCTGCTTGTTCAAAGGTTCGTGCTGTCCTTTTGGCTAAGGGGTCTCCCAGAATACACAACAGTACCTTCACATATGCCTGTCTTGAGTTTTTCACTGATCTCGCCCATTGTGCTGAAGTCTTCGGCATAAAAGAGGTACTTGTCTGTAGGCTCAGAAGCAATCTCCTGTAGCTCTTCCTCGATGGCTTTTCCTACCCCAACAGCATACACAGTTATACCTAAAGTGCAGCGCAAACAAAGAGCAAGAGGTCAGAGCTGTGGTCTCAGAGTCTGGAAGATGTGTGCCCCACACCCAGAGCCAGCTAGATGTTGCGGGGTATGATTTGAAGAGTCCACGTCAACATCTCTTTTCGGTTTTCCATCATTTTTATTTTGGTTCTTTGTGTAAAAGGGAAGGACTCAAGATAGGGGAGGGTGAGACTTTTGAAGTTGGGGAGCTAAACCACCAACCTGTTGCTCAGTTCTGGGTAGGATCATTTAACCCCTCAAATTTTCTCTGGATGAGGAAAGAGTCAATTTTATGGATCATTAACTGGGACTCTCTTTGGGAAGACCTCTAAGCAACAGGTCCATTTATAGCTTTTAGTGCTCAAAGGTACAGGAGAGGAACCTTAGGGTATTGGAAAGATGCAATCTTGTGAGGAGGTGCTAAACTGAGAAGTAGACTTTGCAGGCCAATGGAAATCCCCAAAGTCAAGAAAAAGTACAAACCCAAGCATCTACTCTAGATTTAGAAAGGGATGTGGTGATGTCCCAAAAGATTTTCCCCCAACAAGATGAATCATTAGACCTCTTCCTCATATACTACTCATTTGAAAGTAAAACAGCATGAAGGCTTAAGTTCTGCTTGTTTTCTAACATTTTTCAGCATTGATGTCTTCTTCTGGATATGTCAGACTACATCCATTTTGAAAACACACATAAAATGATTCTTGAAGCCAGGGGGCAAAAGTTCATGCCTTGTTCTAGTCTGTGAAAGGTCAATAGGCAATTCTAGCATACTTGTCTGGGAGCCCAGAGACTTTATACACAACTTCCTAAAAAGGATAACTACTATTTTAAGATTGTGCTAGCTACACATTGTTGTTGTTGTTAGGTGCTGTGGAGTCAGTTCTGACTCATAGCAACCCTGTGTAGGGTTTCCAAGGAGTGGCTGGTGAACTTGAACTGCCGACCTTGCGGATCAAGCTGACCTTGCAGTCCAGCACATTAATCCACAGTGCCACACCAGGACTCCTAGCTACACATACAAGTAATTAATTCATTAGATGATATCATTTCAGCTCAATCTTGCTGATTCAAGAACCACATCAACATCGATCGATCTCTCCTACCACCTGCCTTGGAGGTACTTGTAGAAGGCTGAATGGAGGAAAGGGTGGACTGGTCTTCATAAGACAAATGAAAGCGTAACCATGGTCTCCAGAGACCAAGATGCTTCCTTCAATTTTTTTTCAGGAATGCAGACTAGAGGGTTTATGGTTTGACATACTTCTAGCAAGCTGGTCTGGACTAGAAAGAAGAAGATGAAACTTTTTGTGACTGCCACTCTCCTGGACGACGGAAAAGGAGTGAATAGGAGGTGACAATAGCAACCAACCACCCTCCTTCACTAAGAGAGTGACTGAACATCCATGTGAGGAGGAATGGAATTCATTGGCAGGATAGCTAGTACTTTTATTCCTTTGTTCATTCACTCAACAAGTCTTTGTCAGTCAACACTATGTACCAGGTCTGATTTGTGAGGCTTTGTCTGTGCATACCCTTCTCCCTGTCAAGTCCATTCCAACACATGGTGACCCCATGTGTGTCAGAGTAGAAACTGTGCTCTATAGAGTTTTCAGTGGTTAATTTCAGCAGTAGATTGCCAGGTCTTTCTTCCACAGCACCTCTGGATGGACTCGAACAGCCAAACTTTCGATTAGCAGCTGAACACATTAGCTGTTTGTATTACCCAGGATTCTTTTCCCCTTATAGGACCTGATTCAGTGATGTTCCCTGCTCGAGTACATCAAGAATGTGGTTTTCACATAATCTTAAGCTTTCTCACCTCCTCAAGAAAGCCGGTGGTGTCATCATACACTGTCTCTACCCACCATGCTAGCTTTCTTTTTGCCAAGGGCCTACTCCTCTGCCATATTTCACATCTTAACAACTAACCAAATCAAAAACTCACTGTCATTGAGTCAATTCTGACCCATAGGGACCCTACGTCGGGTTTCTGGGACTAAATCTTTATAGGAGCAGACAGCCTCGTGTTTCTCCCACAGAGCAGCTGGTGGTTTTGAACTGCCAACTTTGTAATTGGCCGCCTATCCAACTTTGTAATTGGCCGCCTAATGCTTATCCTACAGCCCCACCAGGTACAACTAAAATCACCCTCAAACCTCTCTCAGCATTACCCAGGGGGTCAGGAAAATCTAAAAGAGGCTGAGCTTTACTGAGCCACAAATGCTTAGAGCCATAATTCCTTCCAATATTTTGATTTTCTCAAAAGTGAAATTTGCCTCCTCAAACAGAAGAGTATTCTCTGTCCAAAGGCTATTGTGCTTTCAGAGTGCTCACCTGAAGTGTTGGTTTTAAAAAAGTACCAGGAGTTCCCACCAGGAATGAGTCTAAAGTGGCCCAGCCTAGTGTCAGGGAACCGTGGGGGTGATTTATCTGTGGTGGGTGGTACGAGCAGCGATGATCCTCCCCACTGATGGTCACTTGCTGGCTAGCACATTACAGTGTTAATTCCCCGGTGTGCTCTGTGTGCTGACTCTTCCTTCCTTATAGCCCTTTATTTAGCTCCCTGGGGTTCTGTTAGGCCTCCAGGTAGCAGGTTAGTAAAGGTACATAATGGTGAATGACAAGAAACCTTCCTTTCCTGGCTAAAGACGCTCTCACCCAGCTGGCCAGCTGTGGCCCGAGAGACAGTTTAAGAAACCGGAACCTTGAGAGATGTAAGCCACACCTCCATCCCACATTACCATTGGCCTTGGCTTTACTGGCCCACTCAGAGACGTCATCTTGAGCACGTCCATCGGTGAACACAATGGCCACTCTGGGCACCCGTGTGGAGAGGGGCCTGGCTCCTTCTACTTGGGTAAAGCTTCTCTCGAACATGTGTTTCAGGGCCAGCCCTGTCATAGAGCCCTTGCCCATGTATTTCATGTGGGCCACGGCTTTTTTCATGTCTCTGGCCGAGCTGAAGTTTCTCAGGGTGAACTCCGTGCGAACCTGTGTTGAATACTGGAGCAGCCCTACTCGAGCGGCTTTGGGGGAAACTGCTAAGGAATCTATAATTCCAGTGACAAACTGCTTCACAGTCTCAAAATTCTCTTCACCAAGGCTCTTGGATCCGTCAATCACAAAGACCAGGTCGATTGGGCCTTCAGTACACCCTACAGGAATGAAAGGGAAGCAGAGATGCTAAATAACAAAAAAAACCGGACTTATGCACACAAGCACACGTGGGGAGAAGACCTGCAGAGCCGCCTTTGTTCTTTAGAAACACACAGGGCAGAAAAGGAAGCGGTGTGGGGAGGGTTCACATTTGCCTTTATGTGTGGCTTGTCAAATTGATAAAAATTGTGTTTTTCACAAGTAAAAGCACATTGCAGATGAACAAACTGTCTAGGAAACCAGGGGCACGTGGCACCTGGTCACTGAGAGCCAGGTCTCAGGAGGACTATAGGCAGAGGAGATCCCTAGAACTTTACTCCAGGAGGGTGGCACTGCCCAGTGTGGGCATCTGACTGAGAACACAGACAGAGCTCAACCACCATACCTTCCAGGGAGTGTCCTTAGAAACCCAGCTTGTATTAGCTTCTCTGAGTGCCTTTGTTGTTGTTTACTTCACTGAGTTGGTTTCAATTCATAGCGACCCTGTATAGAGTTTTTGAGGAGCGTCTGGTGGATTTGAACCGCCAACTTTGCAATTCAAACTGACATTGTGGTCCAGTGCTTACCCTACAGCTCCACACCAGAACACCTGTGTGTCCCTAGCACTACTGATTTCTTTAACAAAAATGTATTTTTTGAGCAGCTGCTTTGTGTAAGGCAGTGGGTATAACAGATATGCAATAGTGACCAAGACAAAACTTCCTGGCACCAAGTTGCTCATGATCCAGTGACTACTTTAGGTACAATGTTCAGTAATTGTTTAATTACATGTGTTTGATCGGCTTGCAGTTCTGCTCGGCCACATGGGGGCACCCACGAGCCACATGGGCTCACTAACAACTAAGGACAACAACCTCTTCTAGTTAGTGAGGCCCTGGCTGGCAGAGGCCATGACTTACTCATTTCTGTATTTCCTATCTCTGGCCCACAACAGGTGTTCAATAAATATTGAAAGAATAACTGAATGAGGTGTCTATTGATTAGCATACCTGTAAATTCCCTGTGGTTGTTGTTGTTAAGTACCATCGAGTCGATTCTGACCCATAGTGACCCTGTATAGGGTTTCAGAGGAGTGGCTGGTGAACTTGAACTGCGACTTTGAGGTTAAAACCGATTCTGCAATCCAGTGCATTAACCCACAACGCCAACCAGGAGTCCGCCACACCAGTAAGTACCCTATTGAAACTTTGTTTTTTTCCTCAAAGTGTTTGGTTATGACTAGTTTTCATAACTTTCTCCCTTGTATGCTCTATTATATACATGAATATATTCACAACACATATTAATACATATGTAGAAATATCCTCTGTCAAACCTATATATATTCATGGGTATAGTCCTATTTGCCTTCCCACACATGTCCAGCTAGCATGTCTATATATGTATCTACTTGTAGGTTATTGTTATTATTGTTGCAGGATTGTGTATGTAGTAGTATTTACCTTTGTTGACCTATTACAACTTAATAAGGAATTCTTTACCCTGAAGCTTTTCAGACAACTCAGATGGTTGGCAGTAAAAGACAGATAAAAGATTTATGCAAATACTTAAGCAATGTGAGCATGAAAAGACTTTTTATTATTTGTTCTTGTTGTTAAGTGCTGTGGAGTAGGTTCCTACTCATAGCAACCCTGGATAGGGTTTCCAAGGAGTGACTGGTGGGTTTGAACTGCCAACCCTGTGGTTAGTAGCTCAGTATTTATCCTACAGCACCACACCAGGATTCCTTTTGTTATTTGTTGTTGTTATTAAGTGCTGTTCCAACTCATAATAACCCGTATAGGGTTTTCGAGGAGCAAGTGGTGAATTTGAACTGCTGACCTTGCAGTTCAAACCAATCTTTCAGTACAGTGCATTATCCCACAGCACCACATATAGTGTAGTGGTTACAAATTGGGCTGCTAACCTCAAGGTCGGCAGTTCGAAACTACCAGCTGTTCTGCGGGAGAAAGAGGAGGCTTTCTGCTTCTGTAAAGATTTGCAGCCTCGGAAACCCTGTGCAGGGTCACTATGAGTCGGAACCGACTCCACGGTACTTAACAACAACAACAACAACAACAAAACAGTTAAGATCTCAAATTGATGATCTCATTTGAAACTGTCTTGGTGTGGTGCTGTAGGATAAGCACTCAATCATAATCAAACTCATCAGCCTCTCCTTGGAAACCCTACACAGACAGGATCTCTATGAGTCAGAACCGACACTTAGCAACAACATCCTCTTTTAAGGAGCTATGTAATCTGTGAAAGTGAATCACAACAATGTCTCTCACATACACATAAATCACAGATATTTCCACACCTGGCCTGTATAATATCCTAACACAATTGTGTGTGTGTGTGTGTTGGGGGTTGTGCTTGCTACTGCTTGCTCTCCTTACCTAACCTACTGATCCTGTACTAATGGAAAAGGAAAAGGTCAATTCTGAGCTCCATTCGCATTCACAGCTTGTTCTCCAATCAACCAACCAAACAAACAAAAGACTCTCAGGTTGTATGTGTTTCTCCAGCAGATTTCAGAAATATTGGAATAATTTTCCACTGAGTCTATTTCCTCCTCTTCCCCTTACTTCCTTTTCTTTGAAGCCAAAACTAGCCCCTGCAGCCTCCCCACACAGAGAGGAGTGCAGAGCGCTTTGCCAGGAAACAAGAATGCCAGGTAGAGTGGATGGGTCAGCTGAGAAGTACTGGACTATAGCACCCTCCTCACTGGAGGTTCCTGCTAACTTTCCTTGGGTGCTTTCTTTTTGGTAGTGAAGTTGAATAGACTAGAAAGGAGCTGTGATTTGCTTTCAGAACTTAACTTTCACACTGTTTCAGAATTTCAGGGTTGGACAAAAACTTCAGAAGTCATCTTATCCAGATCTCTGGTAATTGCATCTTTTCGCAACATCCCACCCAGTGGCATTCAGCCTGGGCTTAAACTCTTCTACTGGTGGGAAACCCAATGCCTAACCATGAAGCAGTCATCCGATTTTGTTAAGATGCTGATGGAGTGACTACACATCTACTCCTCACTTATCAATACAGTTAGGGTCCAAAGACCAGATCATTATGTGAAAATCAGTGCTTTGGGGAAACGGAGGATGACTACATCATTACATAACTACCAAGTTATACCATTACATAACTGCCCTTTTCTTTGTCCTTTATGGCTTCTGTGTTTCATGCCAAGTTTAAAAAAGTCTTCTCTACTCTGAGATTACAAAATATTTCTCTCAAGATTCCTTCTGCTACTTTTGTGGTTTTACATCTTTGTGTTTAAACCTTTGATCCATCTCTCTCTTCCTAAAGTATGGTTCCCAGAATAGAATGTGATTCTCTAGCAGTGTGGGCCACAGTTCTTAACTTCCTCATTCCAGATATTCAGCCTTCTGGTTGATAATGAACCTACTCTCAACTGAAGCAGAGGAGAGGACTTGTTTCCTGAAAACAAACCAAGAGCAGTTGCTCCAAAAAGAAATCAAAGCAAAGAGCCATGTTCAGACCACTTACTCTTGCACCGTTTCCCATCCTCAGCTAGAACAAATCCTTGTGAGCATTTGCAGATATACGAGTTGCCATTATTCACACAAGTCTGTTCACAGCCATGGTGGGTAGATTTGCAGACATCCTTCCCTGAGGAAAATGTAAGGGGTTGAACAATCCCATCAGTGCAGAAAAGAGCAGGATTGAGCCGTCAAATAAGGAGAGATCATGGAAGTAATTCATTTTTTAAAAAGCCCTTTCTGTTCAAACTTCCTTTATAAAGTTTCCCTTCACAGTCTAATACTCACAATGGGCCACAATAAGGGAAAAGTCCTTCCCAGAAAGCTCTAACTCCAACAAACCTGAATGCCTAGATGGATGTCCTGGATTTTTTTTTTTAATTGTCAGGTGTGTTTTGGATTTTGATTTCCCTAAACCACTGATCTTTTTTCCAGAGTCATTCCAAACACTCCAGTTTTTATTGTCTAATGAACATTTCTCATGTGTGAGATACTTCAAACTCTTCAAAATTGTTACAGCCCTTTCATCCTCACAACATCCTGTGAGAGGAAGAAGGTAGGGGTAATTGGACCCTCTTAATAAGTGAAGAAACAGACTCTCACGAACTTTCACTTGGCCAAGGTCATCGTTCAAGCTGATGAAAGAGCTGAGACACTATGATCCCTAAGTACTGATTCTGTGTTCTTTCCTCCTCCATACAGCACGAAGGCCTACATTCGTTACAGTCATTAGTTCTTTAAAAGGAGATTGTGGCTGTGATGTGCCATGGAGTTGGTTTAGACTCACAGCGACCCTGTACACAGTTTCCAAGGCTGTAAATCTTTATGGGAGCAGAAAGCCTCATCTTTCTCCTGAGGAACAGCTTGAATGCTAACCTTAAGGTTCATAGCTCGATTCATAACTACTACATTACCAGAAGTAGTGACTACAGACCCATCTAGGAAGTGAAAATGATGGAATCTGATGTATCGAGCTGATTCCTGAGGCGGAAATTGTGCCTGTGTACAACAGCTCAATTTATTCAGCAATCCATGTGTCAGATGAATAAATGTATGTGTGTTTACAGAAATGAAATGCTTATAGACATAAAAGCACGAACAAACTGCTCAGGCTGAGACAATGTGCACAACTGTAGACAGGGTCTCCACAGAAGGGGTACTTTAGTATGAAAGCAAAATGAAGAATTGTGTGTGTGTGTTTTTAAATAATATTTTGTGTTTTTTGTGCAAGTTTATGCAGCAAATTGATTCTCATTTGACAATTTTGATACAAATTACTCAACAATAATATATATAGAGGTGTGCAGGGGATGTTGCCAAGTTAGGTCAGGGGGTCAAGCCAACTCCACCGTCGGCTGTCCAAATAGAACTTCCGTCTAAGGGCTGGAGCCCCTCTTTCCAGTTGAAATCCCATCCAACCCAGCTTTGTTGGCATACAGAATGCCCAGTGAGCTCAAAGGAGTCTGTGAAGAAATCCCCCCAAACCAACCTTAAAAGCAAATGAATTTATTTTGCCTTAAAGAGGGCCATTTTACCAGCCAGGGCAGCATGTCACAAAGCCACCACAGGAAAGGGCTAAGAGCTCAGAAAATCACAGAGGAGAAAAAGTCTTGCCCTTTGTTCTTCTAATGCCCACCTCACAGAACTTTCGTGTCTACATCTCTCTCTTCCTTTGGCTACCACATCGTTCCTCAAAAACAAACTAATTTCCCTGAGCTACCTTCTAACTAAACTCTCTGAGTCTGTTTTGTGTGACCCACAGACACAAATACGGAAAGAATGGATAAATTCAACCCCATAGCAAACCATGTCAGCTTCTCTCCCTTCTTCTACCCTTACTTATAAGATCTGCCAACAAGAAAAAGATCTTAATTGTGCTTCTTCAGATCTTGTAGAGAATGCCAGCAGATTCTACTTCAGGCCAATGACTAGTCAGATATTGTGCTAGACATGGGGATTCACACATTTACTGGACAATGGCCACTCCTTCCTACCCCTCACTGGTGTGGTGCTATAGGATCAGCACTGAATTGTGAACCACAAGTCAATAGTTCAAACGCAACCTCTGGGAACCCTACACAGGGTTGTTATGGGTTGGAACAGACTCGACAGTACTTAACTTCAACTCCTTTCCCCAAAATTACACCATTTGCTATTCAGTTGATCCTGACTTCTGACAACTTCAAGTTTCAGAGTATAATTGTACTCCACAGGGTTTTTAGTGGCTGTGACCTCTCCCATGTAGGTCACCAGACCTTTTTTCAGAAGCACCTACTGGGTGACTTCGACCCACCATCCTTCTGGCTAGCAGCACTTAACTGTCTGTGCCACTCAGGGTCTCCTCTGCTAAGAGAAAATAGAAAGAAGCAAAGAGTCTGCCAGCCCTGGGAAATTCTTCAAGTACTAGGAGTTGACTGAGCTCTTCCCTTGCAAACACTGTTAGAACATCCAAGGCAGTATCTTCTATCTGGGCATTTTGTTGGTAAGTGTAGTCAAGTCGGTTTTGACTCATGAGCGACCCTGTGTGTGAGGTTTCTGAAGCTGTAAATTCACCAGAGCAGAAATCCTTATCTTTCTCCCTCAGAGCAACTGGTGGGCTCAAACCACTGACCCTGTAGTTCATAGTCCAGTGCTTAGCCTATGGAGCCACTGTGTTCCCTGTGACATCAGAAATCATTTAATTTGATAAATGAAGTCCTATAACCAACCACTTGGGTCCCAAAGACAGAAAAGTTCTCCTCCAACTGGAGACCACTTACTTCTGCAGTGCTTTCTGTCTTCGGTGAGCCGGAATCCCTCCAAGCACTTGCAGACGTATGAGTCACCACTGTTGATGCACATGTGCTCACAGCCATGGTCTATTGCTTGGCAGACATCCTTCCCTGAGGGTAGTGGAGCAAGTAAAAAGAGTTTACCAACCAACATACATTTCACACGGGCTTCACTTTGCAGGGTCCACCCAGCTCCACCATGAGACTCTTTCTTAATATATCTACACATTTTTATTGTGAATTGAATGATAGTTTACATGGGAGAACATCAGATATATACTCATCATTTCATTGCAATGATTACAATCTCCTCCATGCATCATCATTCAATTGTATTTGCTTCCCTCCGTTTTTTGTTTGTTTTTCAGGGGGTGGGAGGGGGGGGGGGATAATGTATACAAAAACACTCAGGAATATATATAATCATTTAAACAACCAAAGGGCACATTTTGCAAGTCTGCCTCCTGGCCACCAACACTTTTTGTTTCCATGAGTCTAGAGTCCTCAGCTGCTCTATTTCTCCATGTCATCATCTCTGACTCCACCTCTGGAGTTGCTGCTTAACTGAATAGGATCCCACATTCTGCTTGTGCTCTTCTCCCTTGATGGTCCTAGGATCCTCTGTTTCTGGATTATAAGATTAACTATTCCCTCTCTTTTTGTTAAAACACCTCTACCTTTACAGTTGTAACAATTAGTCATGATAACAATTACTCACTATTGAATCCTAAGAATCTTATTTCCATCTCTTTTCACCAGATCCTTCTAGACAAGATGAAAACTATTTAGTGGGGATTCTATCTTCCGCCACACACTCTAAAACTAAATTCCCTCCTGAAAACTTGTAAGCCAGTCAGTTTGTGCCTTTATCGCCCCTAATTTTAGGTAGCCAATGTTGCTCATCCCTATCTACCCTGTTTACAGAGGGGATAGGATTGATCCTTGATGTGAAGACTCCTTCCCTCTTAGTTGGTATTTTGAGTTACTACATCCATAAGTATAGACCAAGTTCATCAAATTGTAGTAATTTACACTCATTTCCTTTATCAAAACTTGTTTATCTTCCTCTAGTCGTGTTCTGGTAGTGTAGTGGTTATGAATCGGGCTGCAAACCACAAGGTCAGCAGTTAGAAACTACCAGCTGTTCTGCAGGAGAACAGTGTCCTGTACAGATTTACAGCCTCAGAAACCTTGTACAGGGTTGCTATGAGTCATAACCGACTCCACAGCACATAAACACCACCGGTCAAGTTCTGATCATAAAGCCATTGAGGCTAGGTTGAATGGGTACTATTTGCAAGTTAGGGCGTTCTTGTGCGTCTCCCCTCACTTCAAACCAGCTGGACGCTTCACTCTCAGCTCTAGCCCTCTGTTCCACCACTAGATTCTTGTGAGCTCAGTGATATAAGGGGAAGAAGGTAAAATTGAGGAAGAAGTGGCTCTAATTCAGGTGAACTCTTCAAACTCTCCTCACTATCATCAGCATCATCATTCACTACCCCCGCCTTCAGTGCCTTATAAAAATTCAATCCATCATCAGCTTTCTGCATGCGGAGTCTCTGATATCAAAATGGAAACACTGTTGGGATGATTACTTAGGAGATTAAACATCAATTTAGATTAATGGAACTGAGATCTAATTTTGGCTTTGTCCCTGACATAATATATGGTTTAGGAGAATCACTTAATCTCTTGGAGTCTTAGCGTTCCTGTTTGGAAAAAAAAATGAGAGTAGTAACTCCAGTTACCCATCTTCTCTTCAAACAGTGTCAACATGAGTTGCTCTTTCAAAATGCTTTCAGAAGCTTGAGGAAAAGACAGCTGACAGGGATGAAAGGCATTTTACTAAGGGTTATCCACCTCCACTGGAGTCCTGGTGTGGTGCTGAGGGTTAATTTGCCAGACTGTAAAGCCATTTGAACTGCAAGGTCGGCAGTTCAAGCTCACTAGCTGCTCCTCGGAAACCCTATACAGGGTTGCCATGGGTCAGAACCGATGGCACTTAACAACAACAACAACATCTACCCCCACTACCCCCACACCCACATCCCATGATACAGAGGTAAGTCTTCAGGTTTGCACTGGCTTTGTACTCTCAGGTTGCTTGTGGAAGGCAGGTTTGTCTTGGCCCCACCTAATTGGCTCTCTGTGTACAGTTTAAGAACAACCTCACTACAAGGTGGTTTCTAGGAGGGATTTCTGCCACCAGAAGCAATGACATCACCATAATCCTATTAAAGATAAATAAACAGAGACTCAGAGACATTAAGCAACTTTCCCAGCAAGTCAATGACAAAAGTAGAAGTTGAAATTTTGGATTTCAGATTGTACACCTGTGTACTAGAGAACACTGCTAAGTCACTGTTCCTGCATACGGAACGTAAACAACCAACTTCACATAGGGCTCTGGCAATGACTTTGTTTTCTTTTCTTTTATACAGACTTTGTATTTTCTGTATTTTATACAGAAAAACTACGAAGATAGTTCAGGGAGTTTCCATAACTCTCCTACTCAATTCTGTCTGTTATAACATCTTTATATGTATGATACTTTTGTTATAATTAATGGACTGCTACTGATACATTGGAGTCCTGGTGTGGTGCTGTGGGTTAATGAGCCAGACTGCAAAGCTGTTTGAACTGCAAGGTCAGTGGGCAGTTCAAGCTCACCAGCTGCTCCTCGGAAACCCTATACAGGGTCGCTATGGGTCGGAATCAACCCGACGGCACTTAACAACAACAACAACTGATACATTAAGGAGCTCTGGTAGCATAGTGATTGCATATTGGGCTGCTAACCTCAAGGCCAGCAAAGCTGTGCCATGGGAGAAAGATGAGGCTTTCTGCTCCAGTAAAGATTTACAACCTCGGAATCCCTATACAGGGTCGTTATGAGTCGGAATTGACTCCACGGCACATAACCACCACCACCATTGATACATTGGAGTCCTGGTGTAACGCTGTAACATAAGCACTCAACCACAGGGTCACATAGTTGGCGGTTCAAACTCACCAGCCGCTACTTGGAAACCATATTCAGGGTCACTGTGATTCAGAACAGACTCAATGGCCCTCAACAACAACAATGATACATGATTAACAACTCAAATTACTGCTTGTCTAGATTTCCTTAGCTTTTATCTAATGTCCTGTTTTATGTGTTCCAAGAACCCATCCAGGATCAAACACATTTAGTTGTCACGTGGCACTGGCTTTTAAGAGCAACTGATTTCCTCTTCGAAGAACCCTGGTAGTGCAGTTAAGTGCTCTGTTGTGAGCCCAAAGACCGGTGGTTTGAACACACCAGCCACTCCAGGGAGGAAAAATGTGGAAGTCTGCTCCTATAAAGATTATAACATAGCGATTGTTGTTGTTACTGTTAAGTATCATCAAGTTGGTACCAACTCATAGTGAACCTATGCACAACAGAATGAAACACTGCCTGGTTCTGGGCCAACCTCACAATCATTGCTAAGCCTGAGTTCACTGCTGCCATCACAGTGCTAATCCATCCCCTTGGGGGGTCTTCCTCTTTATCATCAACCCTCCATTTTACCAAACATGATTATCTGACTCCAGGGACTGCTCCCTTCTGACAATATGTCTAAAATACAAGAGACAAATTTTGGCCATCCTGATCTCCAAGGAGCACTCTGGCTGCACTTCTTCCAATACATATCTGTTTGTTCTTTTGTCAGCCCATGGCACTTACAATAGTCTCCTCCAACACCATAACTCAAAAGCATCAATTCTTCTATAGTCGTTCTTATTCACGGTCCCACTTTTGCATGCATATGAGGTTATAGAAAATACCATGGCTTCAGTCAGGCACACCTTAGTCCTCAAACTGACATCTTTGTTCGTCAACATTTTAAGAAGGTCTTGTGCAGCAGATTTGACTAATGCAATATGTCCTTTGATTTCTTGAGTGTTGATGGATGATCTGAGCAAAATGAAGTCTTTGACAACTTACTTCTCCATTGATAATGAATGTTGTTTATTGGTCCAGTGGTGAGGGTTTCTGTCTTCTTTACATTGAGGTGCGACCCATACCAAAACATGATCTTTGATCTTCATCAGTAAGTATTTTAAGTTCTCTTGGCTTTCTGCAAGCAAGGTTGTATCATCTGCATATCACAGGTTGTTAATGAGTCTTCCTCCAATCCTGATGCCACATTTTTCTTCATATAATACAGTTTCTCAGATGATTTGCTCAGCATACAGATTGAATAAATATGGTGAAAGAATACAACCCTGGTACATACCTTTCCTAATTTAAAATCATTTGGTGTTTCCATGTTTTGTTTGATCAACTGCTTCTTGGTCTATGTACAGGTTCCTCAAGAGCACAATTAAATGTTCTGGAATACTCATACTTCACAATGTTGTCCACAACTTGTTATGATCCATAGAATCAAAAGTTTTTGTGTAATCAATAAAGCACAGGTAAACATCTTTCTGGTATTCTCTGCTTTCAGCCAAGATCCATCTGACATCAGCAATGATATCCTTCATTCCACGTCCTATTCTGAGATGAGCTTGAACCTCTGGAAGTTCTCTGTCAATGTATGTTTGCAGCCATTTTTGTATTACCTTTAGCAAAACTTTACTTGCGTGGGATATCAATGATATTGCCCAATGATTTCTGCATTCCATTGGGTCCCTTCTCTTTGGGATAGACACAAATATGGATCTTTTCCAGTCAGTTGGCCAGGTAGCTGTCTATCAAATATCTTGGCATAGATGAGTGACTGCCTCCAGTGCTGTATCACTTTGTTGAAAGATTTCAATTTGTATTTCATTAATTCCCAGTGCCTTGTTCTTTGCCAATGCCTTCAATACATCTTGGACTTTTTCCTTCAGGATCACTGGCTCTTGATCATGTGCTACCTCTTGAAATGGCTGAACAATAACTTTTTTTTTTTTTTTTAATGTTTTATTGTGAATTATGTGATAGTTTACATGGGACATCATTAGCTTTACATTCATCCTATCGTATATCGTTACATTGCATCATCAACCAACCAAAGGGTATACCCTACAAGCCTGCCCCCCAGTCCTCAGCACACAGCCCCTTTCCCTATCTGGGTCTAAAGTCCCCAGTCACTCCATAGCTCCACGTCATCGTCTCTGCCTCCATCTCTGGTGTCACTGCTTCTCTGGGTAGGGTCCTGCTCTCTGCTCTTCTCCCTTGATGGTTCCAGGGACTAGCGCTCCTGGATTGCAAAGTCAATCACTCCCCTCCTTTTGCTACAAAACGTCTACCTTTACATTTCCAATCCTCACAGTCAGTCCTGATAGTAATTATTCACTATTGTACCACAAGAGACCTATCCCCATCTCCTTTCATCAGCCAGACAGATTGGCTACTACTCAGTGGAGATTCTACCTTCCTCTGTGCCCTCTGGATCTAGGCTCCCTCTTGAAAGCTTGTAAGCCAGTCACTTCTTGCCTTTGTAGCTCCCCCATTTTGGGTAGCCAATGTCCAAATTGCCTATCCCTGTCTACCCTGTGTATCGAAGGGGTGGGAATGATCCTTGCTGTAAAGATTTGTCCCTCTTTTGAGCTACTGCATCCATAGATGTACGTCAAGTTCATCAGATTGTATCAGATTACTCTTTTTTTCCTCTTCATTCTTCTTCTAGCTGAGCTCTGATCATGCAGCCACTGAAGCCAGGTCAAGTGAGTATTATCTGCAAGTGTGAATGTTCTTATGCATATGCCCTCTCTTCTTATCAGCTGGACGCTTGCTTTACTCTCCACTCTAGTCCTCTGTGGCTATGTCACTGACTCTGGGCCCACGAGTCCCCAGGTCTTGCCATACTGCTGGCCAACCAGGTCTCCACCTGAGTCCACAGGTGTCTATTGAACGTTGTAGGGCTTAGCTCGCAGTTTCACTGCTGTTTTTCCCTCACTTCCCCTTACCGATGACCAACGTGGTTACCAATCCAAGCGCATGTCTGCTTGTGTATTTCCACTGAGTTTTAGTCTTGGAAGGGGGCTGGCCCTGAGAGGACCTGACCACTTGCCTTGATGTCTCCTGGGCAAACAACTTGCTTGTTCTTGTAGTAATCAGTCGGACTGCTGTTATTGTTTTGTACTTTGTACTGTTGGTCTTTCTTTCAAGAAGTATCTTCTGTTCTTCTAGCTGCTCCAGACTGGTCTGCTTGTCCTTTCAAGTGGAAATTTCCCACCTCAGAAGATTCTGGATGGGGGTCAGAATTCCACCGATGGTCTTATGTAATACAGAGGCTCCGCAGGAAGCCTCCTTCACTGGGCATGTTATATCCACATTTTAGGTATTCCAATCAGTTATAGGCAGAAGACGGACTAAAGGCTTTCTATGGTGATATTTCTGGCTATTCCTTTCTCTCCCCACTCAAGTGTCTATTTTTTAATGGTATGCAAGGGAAACCAAGATTCAAAAGACAGTCAAGCATCTTAACATTATTTCCCTCTTTTGCTCATTCCAACCATGTCTCAATCCCTGTATTCCAGAGCTCTGTTGTTCCAAGATTGTGCATACATCATTATTTACTCTGTCCCACTTAGCCCATGCAAACCTGCCTAATTGTTTTCCCGTCTGATTTGTTCTTCCATTCTCCTCCCCCTTCTTAAGTATTGTCCCTCTCCCCAGCACCCAAACTATCCTGTGTCTATTCTCTACCCTGTGCTCCACCTTCCCCTCCCTCCCATCACCCTCCCATCTACATCCCGGTAATCCACAAAGAATTCTCCCTCCACTTTAGTATGGGTTCTTTTTCTTAGCCTTTTACAATAGTGGTCCTATGCAGTATTTCTCCTTTTGTGACTGACTAATTGCACTCAACATAATGTCCTCAAGGTTCATCCATGTTATGTGGTGGTTTGCAGCTTCCTTGTTATTCTTCAAGGTAGCATAATATTCCATTGTGTGTATGTACCACAGTTTGTTTATCCATTCTTCAGTTGATGGGCACTTAAGCTATCTCCATCTTTTTGCTGTTGTAAATAGTGCTGCTATGAACATTGGTATGCATATATCTACTCGTGTTATGGCTCGCATTTCTTGTGGGTAAATACCAAGTAGAGGAATTGCTGGATCATAAGGTATTTCTATTTCCAACCTTCTGAGGAAGCACCATATTGCTTTCCAGAGAGGTTGGATCATTTTGCAATCCTACCAGCAATATAGGAGAGTTCCCATTTCTCCACATCCTCATCAGCACTTATTGACCTCTACTATTTTGATCTTTGCTGTTTTTGCTAGTATGAGATGATATCTCATTGTTTTGATTTGCAACTTTTTAGTGGCTAGTAATCGTGAACATTTCTTCATATATTTGTTGGCTGCCCAGATCTCCTCATTGGTGAAGTGTCTGTTCATGTGTGCCCACTTTTTAATTGGGTTATTTGTCTTTTTCTTGTCGAGGTGTTTTAGTTTCCTATATATTTTAGAAATGAGTCCCTTGTCTGATGTGTTGTTGCAAAAATTTTTTTCCCCATTCTGTGGGTTCCCTGTTTACTCTTTTGGTGAAGTCTTTCTATGCACATAAGTTTTTAATTTTTAGTATATCCCAATCATCTATTTTGTCTACTTCTGTTTGTGTAGTTTTCAAAATGTTTGGTAGTCTATGTATTTCCTGAATTAGAACACTCACATTTGTCTCTATTTTTTCATTGATGACCTTCATAATTCTGGGACCATTTCTTTTTGTACATTGATTCTGCATCATTCAATAATTTGCCCAGAGAGTCTTTCAATATTGCAAGCCAAGGCTTGAACTTTTCCTTCAATTCCCTCAGCTTGAGAAATGCTGAGCGTGTTCTCCCTTTTGGTTTTCTAATTCCAGCTCTTTACACTTTTCATTATAATATTTGACTTTGTCTTCTCGAACTGACCTTTTGAAATTTTCTGTTCCGCTCTTGTACTTCCTCACTTCTCCAATTTACTTTAGCATCTCTACTCTGGAGAGCAAGTTTCAGAGTCTCTTCTGACATCTGCTTTGGTCTTTCCCTTCTTTCTTGTCTTCTTAATGTCCTTTGGCTTTCTTCCTGTATGATGTTCTTGATGTCATCCCACGACTTTTTTCTGGTTTTCGGTCTTTAGCGACTAATATATCAAATCTGTTCTTCAGATGATCTCTAAATTCTATGTTCAAGGTCATATATTGGCTCTCATGGACATTTTTCATTTTCTTTAGCTTCAGTTTGAACTTGCATATGAGCAATTATTAGTCTGTTCTATAATCTGCCCCTGGTCTTGTTTTGGCTGATGACATGGAACTTTCACCATCTCTTCCCACAGATCTAGTCAATTTGATTTCTGTGAATTCCTTCTGGTGTGGTCCATGTGTATAGTCATCTTATGTTGTTGTTAGGTGTCATCGACTTGGTACTGACTCATAGTACCCCTACGCACAACAGAACTAAACACTGCCCGATCCTGGACCAACCTCACGATCATTGCTATGTTTGAGCCTACTGATGCTGACACTGTGCCACTCTGTCTCATTGGGGGTCTTCCTCTTTTGCTCCAACCCTCCACTTTACCAAACATGTTATTCTTCTCCAATGACTGGTCTCTCTTGACAATATGTCCAAAGTATGAAAGATGAAGTCTGGCTATCCTGGCTTCCAAAGAGCACGCTGGCTGTATTTCTTCCAACAGAAATCTATTTGTTCTTTTGGCAGTCCAGGATACTTTCAATATTCTAATCCAGTTCCATAACTACAATGCTTCAATTCTTCCATGGTCTTCCTTATTCACTGTATTTGCCATGAACAAATCATTGGTCTTGCAAACTTCTATCATGTGATCTCCAGCATTGTTTCTATCACCAAGGTCATATTTACAACTACTGAGCCCTCCTCTTTGTTTTCAACGTTTGTATTTCCATAGCTAGTAACTATCAATACATCTTGATTGCATGTTTGATCAATTTCAGACTAAAGAAGTTGGTAGAATTCTTCAGTTTCATCATCACTGGCTTTAGTGGTTGGTGCGTAAATTTGAATAATAGTGGTATTACTTGGTCTTCCTTCTAGGAGTATGGATATTATCTTATTGCAGACAGCATTGTACTTCATGACAAATCTTGATAGGTTCTTTTTGATTATGAGTGTGATGCCATTCCTTTTCAATTTGTCATTCTTGGCACAGTAAACCATGTGATTGTCAGATGCAAAATGGCCAATACCAGTCCATTTTAGCTCACTAATGCCTAAGAGATCGATATTTATGCATTCTCTATCATTTTTGACAATTTCCAATTTTCCTAGATTCATACTTCATACATTCCAGTTTCAATTATTAATGGATGTTTACAGCTGTTTCTCTTCATTTTAACTTGTGCCCCATCAGCAAATGAAGGACCTACGGGCTTTACTACATTCGCATCATCACAGTCAACTCTACTTTGAGGAGGTAGCTCTTCTCCAGTTGCATTTTGAGTGTCTTCCAACCTGAGGGGCTTATCTTCTGGCACTGTATCTGACAGTGTTCCACTGCTATCCATAAAGTTTTCAGGGATTAAATATTTGGAAGTAGTTTGTCTCTCCTTCTCTGTAGTCCATCTTCATCTGGAAGCTCATCTGAAATCTGTCCACCATAGGTAACCCTTCTGGTATTTAAAATACCCGTGGCATAGCTTCCAGAAGCACAGCAACACACAATCTACCATAGTACGACAAAATGACAAATGAGTGGTGAGTGTAAAGATTATAGTCTTGGAAATCCTATGGGGCAGCTCTTTGAGCCGGAAGAGGCAGGGTGGCAATTTTTTTGGGGGGGGATGAACTCTCAGGATGGATGAACTCTCATGTTGCAGACAAACTCAGTGATGTGAGGCAACCACAGTAAATACTTACTTCTGCAGGTTTTCCCATCTTCACGGAGGGTATACCCTTCAAGGCACTGGCACACAAAAGAGTCTTCACTGCTTACACATGAATGTTCACAGCCATGATTCCCCAAAGCACAAGGGTCTAATTCTGAAAAAGAAATTAGGATGGGAGGAACAGAGAAAGAAAATGATTCATACATTACTGATCAATTCAATCTTCGTAAACAACTCAGACGCCATAAGTTAGGACAGTTCCTTATCCTGTATGGCACATTTCAGAATGGAAAGCAAGCATATGAGCAAAACTCTTAATATATAAAGAACATAGACAGATAACCAACATCATCAACCCTACAGGGAAATGAGCAAAAGACAAAAACAGATCATTTACAAAGGAAGATATAGAAATAATCTGTTAGGAAAAAAGTTCAATTTTATTCTCTGGTAGCGTAGTGGTTACGAATTGGGCTGCGAACCACAAAGTCAGCAGTTCAAAACTACTAGCTGTTTTGCGGGAGAAAGATGAGGCTTTCTGCTCCCGTAAAGATTTACAGCCTCAGAAACCCTGTACAGGGACACTATGAGTCAGAACCGACTCCATGGCACATAACCACCACCACCACCATCTCAGAACTTTAGTATCAGCTTAGGTACATATCTACTTATGTATGTATGTGTATGTGTATTATCCTTAGGTAATCCATCTATCCATTCATTCACTCAGTTAGTAGATATTTACTGAGCCCCCACGAGGGACTGGCCCATACTTTAGGGATATAACAATAAGTTTCTGCCTTAGTGACTTTTACATATGGGAGGGTGGTGAATGGAAGACACACAAGAGACTAAGAAAGATGAAATGGCAGGTGGGAAAAGTACTCTGGAGAAAAACAAAGCCAGATAACAGGGTAGTGAGTGCCTGCATTGGAGGGTGGGGAAGGAGGGCAGTCAGAGAAGGAGGCACCTGAGCAGAGCCCTGAAGAAACAGGGGGTGTAAGTGTGTGGTATCTGAGGAAAGAACTTTAACAGCAAGAAAGAAACAAAAAGTCGAAACAAAATCAGCTGCTGTGGAGCAGACCCTGAGTCCTGGCAGGCCCGTGTGTTACAGTGCAGAATTGAGCTCCACATAGCTTTACTGGCCGTCATCTTTACAGAAGCAGATAGCTAGGCTGGGTGGCTTCAAAGCACTAACGTTTTAGTTGACTTGCTGTTGCTAAGTACCATCAAGTCAGTTCCAACTCACAGAGACTCTGTAGAGAGTTTCTGAGGCCGTACATCTTTACGGGAGCAGAAAGCCTCATCGTTCCCACACAAAGTAGTTGGTGGACTCGAACCGCTGACCTTGTGGTTCGCAGTCCAGTGCTTATCCTACAGAGTTGTAGTGCTCCCCTTCAGGTGAGCTGTTGTTAGGGGAGTAGTGAAGTACTGTTTGTTTTCCCCCAGGGACCCCAAGAAAGACACGCATTTACAAATTCCAGAAGTGCTTAGCATGGGTCAGAAATAAAAGGTCAGTGAGACTGGAGCCAGCAGAAGAGAGGTGGGAGAGGAGGTCAGGGAGGTGAGCAGGGCCGAACGATGGAGGGACGACAGGCAGGTCAGCCCTGCAGGGGAAGAGGAGCCACTGGCTGGCTCTGAGCTGACTCTACTGAAAAGACTGAGCTGTAAGAAGCCCAAGCAGTGGTCTTGGAGGCTCACACCAGCGAGCTGACAAGTGGCCAGACTATGGCTAGATTTTGAAGGCTGTTGTTATTAGGTGCTGTGACTCACAGTGACCCTATAGGACGAAATAGGGTTTCCTAGGCTGTAATCTTTATGAGAGGGAGCTCTGGTAGCGTAGTGGTTACGAATCGGGCTGTGAACCACAAGGTCAGCAGTTCGAAACTACCAGCTGTTCCAAGGGAGAAAGAGGAGGCTTTCTGCTCCCGTGAAGATTTACAGCCTCGGAAACCCTGTACAGGGTCACTATGAGTCGGAAACGACTCCACGGTACTTAACAACAACAACAACAACACATATTTTGGAGAGTTAACTCAAGTCATTTTAGATCAAGAGGAATTTCTACAGTGGATATGCGCTGAAGTTACTAAATCATGGCTCCAAAACTCACACTCATTTTATAATCAGGCACAAACCAAATGCTCCAAGTATTTTTTCTAAAGCATCTTTATTATAATTATTTTGAAGGGAAGTCCTCAGAACTATCCTGTGAGTTAGTTAAGGCAGCTGCTGTTACTCTCATTTACCATCTAAGGAAACTAAAGTTTGGGAAAGTTAATAACTTGTCTAGACCAATTGTTAATAATTGATCAAACCAGATTAAAAATACTTTAATTTGACAATAAAGCCCACGTTTTTTCAGCTTCACTGCATTACTATACTATTCTAAAGTAAGCGTCCAAACATGAAAGACATTTTGTGTCTCTTCCTTTGGGCAGAAGTGCTGCCAAATTCTTTGAAAAATAGGGAAGTGCTAAGTTAACTGAAATTATAACTTTGGGGGAGAGTCAAGCAGACTTTGATCCTCCAGCTTGCTCTTGAATGTTACTTTCTCCTTTGGGCACGTCCTAGACTCATTAATGCAGAACTTCTCCTAGTCGCTCCGGGTAGCTCCTCTTGTAGAGTAAGAGTGGAAAGTACAATGGCCTGATACAGGCAGATGGCTGGCTGGCTGAGGCAGTAAACATTTTTCCCCCCACCATGCATTCATAATAAAAATACCCTACTTTCCAAGGCAATAAAATTGTCTTTCAGGCTGGCCTTGTCAAACCATAATCTGGACCACTGTCGCTGAGCACAAGCCTTCCCTTCTCCATGAAGCATCCACAGGCCCTGTCCTACGCTCAGGTGGCCATCCTGAAGAGTGATTCAAAGTCTTCCCCACACAGATGGTGATGGGCACACACTCCCTGGCTTCTCAGGACATTGTGGGTTGAGTCTATATCTCCTAACTGGCTGCTTTCTACTGGCCCAAGCCAGCTCAGTTTCTGGGTTCTCTTGGGCTGTCAAATGAGTTGTTGTTGTTAAGTACTGTGGAATCAGTTCCGACTCATAGTGATCCTGCACAGGTTTTCCAAGGCTGTAAATCTTTACGGGAGCAGAAAGCGTCATCTTTCTCCCACAGAACGGCTGGTAGTTTCCAACTGCTGACCTTGAGGTTAGCAGCCCAATTCGTAACCACTATGCTACCAGAACTCCTTGTCAAATGAGTAGCCACCTGGAATTTGTATTGTGTGCAAGCTTTAAAAGTATATGGAGAACACCCACACTTGCAGATAATACCCACTTGACCTGGCTTCAATGACTGGATGATCAGAGCTCAACTAGAAGAAGAAAGAAGAGGAAAAAAAGAGTAATCTGATATAATTTGATGAACTTGACCTACACCTATAGAAGCAGTAGCTCAAAAGAGGGAACAAATCTTTACAACGAGAATCATTCCCACCCCCTCCAAACACAGAGTAGACAGTGATGGGCAACTTGGACATTGGCTACCCAAAATGGGGGGGGGGGGGAGACTACAAAGGCAAGAAGTGACTGGCTTACAAGCTTTCAAGAAGGAACCTAGATCCAGAGGGCGTGGAGGAAGGTAGAATCTCCACTGAGTAGTATCCAATCTGTCTAGGCAGGGTTGATGAAATGAAATGCGGATAGGTCTCTTGTGATATAATAGTGAATAATTGTTCTCAGGACTGATTGTGAGGGTTGGAAATGTAAAAGTAGACGTTTTGTAGCAAGGAGGGGAGTGATTAACTTTTCAGCCTAGGAGCAGAGGTCCCTAGGACCATCAAGGGAGAAGAGGAGAGAGTGGGACCCTACCCAGAGAAGCAGTGATGCCTGAGATGGAGGCAAAGATGATGATGTGCAGAGATCGAGCAGTTGGGGACTTTAGGCCCAGAGAGGGAGAGGGGCTGTGTGCTGACGACCGGGGGGCAGGCTTGTAGTGTATACCCTTTGGTTGGTTGATGATGCATGGAGGGGATTGTAACCATGACAATGAAACAATATACGATAGGATGAATATAAAACTAATGTTCTCCCATGTAAACGATCACATAATCCACAATAAAACGTTAAAAAAAAAAAAAGTATATGGAGTGTTTTGACTTTCAACCTTAGCTCTCCTTTCAACCTAGTATTTCCTTACAATATCCGATTATGACAGAGTAGAGCAGTGGTGAACTCAAAATGTCAGATAAGCATCAAAATTGCCAGGAGAGGTTTTCTGCTTTTTTTTTTAAAAAGACAAAACATGCTTATGGTTCCAAATTCAAACAAACTAAAGATTATACTTTCCTTGTGGTGGAGAATCTGGCAATCTGGCATTAGGAAGGGGCCTCCAAAAGTTTGTGGAAAATGGAACTGAAAGATAATGGGGTTTCCTTCGAAATTTTGGAAGCCCTCTTATTTTAGCAAAAGTTACACTTCTGGCAACTTCACTTTGAATTCTCTCCTACAGATGCCTTTGTTCAGAGTTATTCACTGTTGCATTGCTTGTAATAATAAAATGTGGGAATTAATCCAAGGATCCAGCAAAGGACTGCTTGAATAAATATTTCAGACAATGGAACATTGTTGCTTATATTAAAGTGTTGGAGAGTTGGTACCTACTCATAGTAACCTTGTATAAGGTTTCCAAGGCTGCAAATCTCTGCAGGAACAAAAAGTCTTATATTTCATCTTTCTTCTTTCTTTTGAGGGAGAGGCAGGTGGCCTCAAATAGATGACCTTGTGGTTAGCAGCCCAGCCCTTCTCCTACAGCCACCATGCTCCGACTGGAACATTACACAGTCGTAACAAGAATGAGGGCTCTTTTATGGAAAGATATGAAGTAATCTCCAGGAAATACTGTTGGAAAAACCAGGTGCCACACAGGATATATAGTACACCATATATATATATATATGTATATATACATATACATATATACATATATATATATGTATATATATATATGAAGGGTGAAAATAAGAAAACATATTTGTATTTGCTTTGATTCATTTAAAGAAACACCAGAAAGAGAGGCTGAAGCAAAGCGGGGGAATGGGAGTAACCCAAGAATGCTGCCAGCACCATGAGCCTCCTCAACAAGCCCAAGAGTGAGATGACCCCAGAGGAGCTGCAGAAGCACAAGGAGGAGGAGGATTTAAC